ATGGTGGGAAGGGGGGAAACCAAATTATTTTTTTTCGAAAACTTGTTGAATTTATCTATGGAATTGTTGTACTTTTTATTGCGATAGATCAATATCGGGAGATATATGTAATAGCTCCAATTATTCGCAATTTAGCAAATATGATTAGATGACACTAAGTTGCTTGACATCGGCCCTTTTGTTCATACAACTGTCTGTCATGAAAATGTGTGACATTTCTAAGAACAAACGTTTGAAAAGATGTCTTTCTTTGTCAAGGATCTTTATGCTGTTATAGACAATCGAATGTTTTGTAATGTTAACATGCGGTTTTCGCTGTTTAGACATCATTTAGCTACTTTTCAATAAAAAAAATCATATCAATGCATTTAATTTTTTGAGAAAATTAACCATTTCGGTCAGAATGCCGATAACTCCACTCTAGCAGCCACGTGTGGAAATATCATAATATTCGAACCCAAAAATAGCTCTTTGAAACCAGCCCAAGTTTGCTAAAATCAGGGTGTTTTTTACACTTCATTTTTAGAGATACAGCAAAAATTGTCGGACATAAAAGTCACGTAATCCTCGACTTTAAGAATCAGGTATTTTTTGTTAGGTGAATATAGCCGAATTCATAGAAACAGCACCTTTTTAGATTCAGGTTTGCAGTTACGACCCCTAGCGGCCATTTCAGAAACTTGAAAATATTTTTCAGGTTCTTCTATTGGCCGTTTTAGTAAGAATTTTTTTGCTGCAAGCCTCTACGATAGATAGGTTCCCAGAGGCAGTACCTCGCATTCTTAGTTGGCCGCCCTTTTTGCTTACTATGTAATTCTCTCGTCATTCGGTCTGAATTATGTCAATTTCAAGTATAAACATTTCCATCAAGATGCATGCTCGTATCACGCTGTACTACAATTCGTTACAGTCTGATAATTTGTTTGGGCATTATCTCACGCGCCACTATTTCCACGAATAATTATTTTGTTATGCGCTTCATTAAAACAATCCAGTCGTAAACGATAAATGCACTTCAGTAACGCTACATGTACTCAGGTAGCTTCAAATATTCATATAAGCACAAACAATTTACTTGTTTACGGCCACACAATTTTGCAAAACGACAAAACTCCAACTTTGTTTTTTCCGACAGTTTCATAGGAAATAATTAGAAAAACGAAGTGAAATAAGTTAACTTGCACATTAGTGTCTACACTATACAGGGTGTTATTTAAGTACGTGGCCAAACTTGACGATGTGATTCTTTGAGTAATTTCAAGATGAAAAGTTCATATAAACATAATGTTCCCGTTACCCTAAATGGTCCAGCCCGGAACTTAAAGATCGAGTCTGTCAAACAAAGATTGCCCTTAAGATGCTTATAGAAACAAACCAATATAAGGACTATGCGACTTTGTCATAGTTACGCTCTTTATGTAAAGAATAACATGGATCTTTGGTAGCCGATCCACGGCGCTTTTGGGGATACCTAAAGAATTTAAGAAATTCAAGTAGCTTAAATAATAGTATGCAGAGGAAGTTAGAGTGTAAGATGAGATGACAATGAGTAATTTGTTTGCGAAGCACTTTAGTGATGTATATGGATAGTTCTGTCTATCCTGTACCCCCTTTTTTATTTGAGAAAGCAGGAGTCTTTTGAGGAAGTGTTTAATAAAATCGTAAGTCTCCCAGTGAAGCTTAGCTCTGGTCCTGTCCAAATTCTTGAGGTTTTTCTCAAAGAACGTATCTTTACACTTACTAAACCTTTGTATCTTATTTTTAACATGTCCATCCAATCATGTGTTTTTCCTGACATTTGAAAGCACAGTTGTATTAAACCAGTTTTTAAGTCAGGGGACGTTGAAGGTATTATCAATAATTACAGAGGTGTATGTACCCAGTCATCATTTCCGAAACTTTTTGATAGCTTGATATATGAATGTATGATCAACTTAACTGGTCTTGCCGTGGGATTGTCAATAGCTGTCAATTTGGGCTCAATAAGGGTAGATGAACAGTGGAGAAGTGTCTTATAAAGTTGATTTGTTGGAGGCGTTGGAAAAGGGTCACCAGGTGGAGATGCAATCTACACGGACTTTTCCAAGGACTTGGGCAGAGTGAACTTCTGCATTCTATTGGCAAATCTGCCAGCTTATAGTTTTTCAGAAAACACTATAATATGGTTAGAGAGCTTGCTTTAAGGTAGGACTCAATCTGTAAAAATCAGTGGGCATCTGTCTTCAAACTTCGAGGTTCCTCAGGGGTTCCACTGTGCTCCTCTCCTCTTCATTCTGTTTATGAATGATATCCCTGATGTTCTAATTCATTTTAAAGGAACTATTTTTTCTGATGACGTGAAAATTTACAGGACAATTACGAAAAAAGATTACATGGTGGGCCTTCAGCGGGACCTTGATGCGCTGTAGCAGTGGATATACTATAGCTTAATCACTTGTATCTGAACTCTGATAAATGCTTCTTCATAAGCTTCTTCGAAAGTAGGAGTAGAATTTTAACTCGCTATAAATTAAATAATGGTGCGCTCTCTTATAAGGCTGCCGCTAGGGACCTTGGAGTGCTTAGCTTTTCAGGCCATGTTCTCAAAGTTAGTATAAAAGGCATACAGATGCTGGGCTTTGTTTGGAGAAATTGAGTTTTTCAATCAACACCTTTCGAATTTTATACTGCTCCTTTTTAAGATCAAGTCTATTAGTATGGTGCCCTCAGTACCAGTGTTATGAAGATGACTTAGAGCGTGTCCAGTATAAATTTTCACGTATTGCAGCATTAAAGATGAACTTAAACATAACGGAATATCCTAGAGCTGTCATGTTAGAAGATTTGCGTTTGCCTACATTGGAGCTTAGGCGCTTGGTCTTTGATGGTTGTTTCGCTTTCAAGATTTTCTTGTGGCTCACCTTCTGCGAAACTTTGTTAACATTAATAAATCTTAATGTACCCCGTAGAAAATTGCGTAATACTAATCTGCTTGCGATTAAGTTCCATTCCACAAATTATGGTCAGCACTCTTCACTCGATAGAGCACTTCGTGTTATCAATTTGGCTCAGTCTGATATTGACATCTTTACCTGTGCACTGTCAGGCTTTTATATTTTAAATTGTGATTTTTATAATGTGAGCTTGCATATTTTTTAAATAATGTTATTCCCATTTTGTAATTTTATTTTGTAAAAATGGGGCCACCCGTAAATTTGTTAAATAAATAAATAAAGGGTGTCTCATAAATATTTTCTTATTTTATGCCATAAATAAAAATACTTAGAATATTTTTACAAAGATAAATTTATTACCAAACGAAAGCCTAAACATTAATTTTATTTATGGAAAAGAGTATCGGATAAATGAGCACCGTTCGTGTTTTCACACTCTCTTAATCTCGAACTGAAGTTTTCGATCACTCTCCGAAGCATTGCTCGAGGAATGGCGTTTATTTCATCTGTTATTTTTTGCTTCAACTCTCTCAAATCTTGTGGCGGTGGGGTGTATACCTTACTCTTCAGATATCCCCATAAGAAAAAATCTGCTGGTGTCAAATCTGGACTTCTCGGTGGCCAGTTAATGTCTCCTCTGCGACTGATGACCCTCTCTGGGAATAACTGATGAAGAGCATCCAAGGATTCATTCGTTACAGTTTGAGCTTGGCCACGATTGTCTTCAAAAAAATACGGGCCAATGATTCCTTGCCCTGACGATAACTTTAGGCGAGTGTAATGGCGTCTCATGAAGATTTTGCGGGTTCTGCTCGGCCCAATATCGGCAGTTTTGTTTATTAACATGCCCGTTAATGTGAAAATTCGATTCATCAGAAAACCATATGTTGTTGTAACCGTTAAAATGCTCTCTCATTGTTCTACAGAACTCTAATCGATTAGCGGGATCTTGTGGTTTTAATTGTTGTGTAACAACAATCTTGTATGGGTGAAAATGCAAATCCTTGCGAATAATGCGATGAACAGTTGACTTATGCAAAGTTAGAGACGCTCCACGCAGTCTTAATGATTGCCGGGGATCCTCGTTAACGGACTGGCGCACACGTTCATTATTTTCGTTCGATCTTGCTGACCTTGGCCGTCCAGGCGGTTTACTAATACACGTGTTTCCAGTGCTCTCGAACTTTCTTACCCAATATTTAATTAAATTTGCGCTTGGGACATCTCTCATTCTTGCTATGTTATAATGATTTCTGTACAAACGACGTACAAGCACATAAGAATCCTTGTTTTTATAGAACTCGCGAACACAAAAAGCACGTTGCGGCCCTGTAAAACGCTCCATTGCAACTAAAATTTAACAATGTTGCCAAACGTTTGTCAACTGTCTCGTTTCTCCGGAGCATGCGTATTCCGCCAGAGGACTGATCTAAAAACGAAAATATTTCTGAGACACCCTTTATATATCTTGCGGCCAGAGGTAAAGTCAACCACCCATCTGCAAAGCTTCTCTGGGAGGCCACAGGGTGGAAGTTTGCACAAGGGGGCAGCATTCCACAGCTGATCGAACACTTTCGGAGTTAAGGTTTCTATTCACCTGTGTAAATATCCAGTATGACGTCCATAAGAAAAAATATAGTTAATGAGTGAGGACAAGATATGGAACATTGTATGTAAATTCTATTTATGCCACCTTGTAGTGGAGAAAAAATGACAAATATACCTTTTATTTTGAAATCCCATCTTAAATAAGTTCAGATAAAAGATAAACATGATTTTGGGAAATTCGGTTTGACTCGTCTATCTCCGGAAATCGAAACATTTCCCTACAAACTACTACGCTTGGTACTCTCTGAACGATCTCGTTTATCTTTTACATGCCAAACGCCAACTAATTTTTTATAGCGAAAATGCTTCTGCACAATTCTGTGTTGAAACGATCTGGCTTGCTTTAACGTGTTTTAACCATGCAGAGCACATTTTTGCTGAAATAACATGTGACGTCGATCTCCTAATTGGATTCCAAGCGGAATTACTTACATAATCCATAGCATAATTTATTTTCAGCGGCTCGGAAGCACTCTGGTCCTGTATTACCGCCTCGGTGGTTGGAAATTGCTGTCGCCGTCGACCATACGGTAATAGCCTTCCATGGAAAGGATAAAGTGGAGCAATACGTTCTCTCTCTACTGAATATTGTAAGTAAGGATAACTACCGTCGATTTTTTACAGCATAAAGTTAGTGGCTTGTACGCTTCTAAAATACAGGCTGGCCCAACGAAAAGGTTGCAACCCCATTTGTGACTGTCCTGGTATATTTTGGGAAAAACGCTCAGACACGTCAATTTTGATCTCTAGGGCCAGGGTGATCCAAAAATAAGATATTGCTTTACACTTTAATTGGAATCTCCCGTTTGTTAGTAACTTGTATAATAAAGTTTATACATATCTTCAATCGTTGTGAAGCTATTTGAGTTTATAATAAAATTCGACTAACTTAATACTGATAATAATGAAATGCACGGCAAAAAATAATAGTGATGCGCATATCGCAAATATTTCATTTCTTACTTTAAAATGAAAGATTAGGATGTAAGTTGCACGGAAATATTTTTTCTTCAAGGAACCCTCTGCTTGCTATTTCATAGAACTTCAAAGTTGCATTTTGGGTACTGTGGTGTAGTATACTGCTTTATAAGCTGTTTTCTTCTTGTTTATACAAAAGATTGTTCAAAATTATATGAATATGACATACACTGTAAGTTACTGTGATACTGTTTATCGCAATAATGCAATTTTGCATTATTTTAATGATGAAAGTGGTTCATTGTTAAGTAGTCATTTCTTTTATTTGAGATAGTTATTCCCTTCACTACACCTCCGTCACTGTCATATTGTCTCCATCTAGTTGCGATGTTGGCAAATCATGGATAGTAATTTGGTTTGTCAAATTCTTACTTATACAGGGTGTTTCAGTTTATTGTTGCATAACTTTAAGATTCGATAGAACATTTAAAATTCATGCATAAAGTCTATATAAACATGGGTAGAAAAATGCGTGGCTTCCGAAATACAGGGTGTTTAAATTTACGTTCTAAAATAGTTTTTAAATATTTCGAACAACATTTGATGTATAACAGTGAAAATCGGTATACAAGGGTTTTTTGGTACGACAAAACGAACCATGGGCATAGTTTTACTGTAGCCGCTAGAGGGCGCTCTCTACTGTACCTGTAGTGTATAAAAAAGACCGAAAAATTTTTCTTAGTGCAACTTTTGCTTTTTGAATAAAAAAACTGATTTCTCGCACTTTTCAACATAACAAAGCTCTCCTGTGAGTTTTCGTTATAGTTAGCCGTTTTTGAGATATTTCGATTTTTAAGGTTCGATGCATTTTTAATTATTTATGGGAAAATTATATTTTTTTACATTTTCGATTTGGGCATTTGGTGCATTTTCCACTGTTTAGACACATACTGTTCAAAATTTCGTCTAGTTTTTGGTAAATATTGCAACAACTTTTCATAAACAAGCCAATTCCAATAAATTAAGACTTTTATTTGGCAAATAACCTCATTTCTAATTACGTATTTCTCCCAAAAAAGGTAAAACTTGGCAACAATGGACATCATTTATCTTATCTGTCTAGAAATGAGCGTTATAAAACAGCCTTTGAGAATTGTTTGTACTTTCAAACTTTTTTTATAAAAGCAAAAACTTTGATCTCATTGAAAATACGCGAAAAAAATAAATTAAGGTATTCCAAGAAGACATTGAAAAATCACAAAACAACACCTCTAGAGAGTTTACCAAGTAAATAGTAACATTTACGTAAGTATATATTTTGATCTGTTATTTAAGCTCATAAGCTGAGGTGTAATAGCACGTCTGGTTTTGAACTTTTTTTTTTGCAAAATATCACACAGTTTCACATCTATTTTCCTTAGTACTATACAGTGTATGTTATATTCTTATAATTTAGAACACCCTTTTGTACAAAAAGCAAAAAAAGACAGCATGTATAATAAGAGTCTTACCACCAAAAGTGCAACTTCGAAGTTCTATAAAATATAAAGAAAAAATGATACTTTCGTAAAAGTTACATCCTAATCTTTCATTTTAAAGTAAGAAATTAAGTATTTTCGATATGCGCTAAAGTATAGTCTTACCATAGCAAAACTTAATTACCAAAATGGGAGCATTGCAAGAGGTACTGACCAGTTAGAAATGAAGCCGCAGAAATAGCAATTTTGGGACACGTAGCACTTGACAACGCCCTCGTGGACTGGCTACTTCTGCAGAATTTCACCCGCTCAAGGTAAAAGTTGTCCATGAACTTAATGAACACGATTTTGATAGAAGGTTGGAGTTTTGCGAATGAATGTCCCAAAGTTTAATCGACAACGCAAATCTGTTTTTTAACATTTGTTTCTCTGCTGTAAATAGACATAATTGTCGACATTGGAGGGACTCGAATCCACATCTGTTTCGAGATACACTCGCAATATACTGAAAAAATAAATGTATGGGCCGGCATTTTCGGAAATCATATGATAGCACCTTTCTTTGCTCCTGGAAACTTGACGAGCAAGACGTACTTCGACAATTATCCAATTAATATAAAATGACGTTAATTGAAAATTAATTTCATTTCCATCAACATGGTGCACCGCCGCACCATGTGGTAAGACAGTTTTTGGACACCTATTTCCCGAATCTGTGGGTCGGCAGATGAGGCCCCTCCGAGTGGCCGCCGAGGTCTTCGGATCTACTTTCTGTGGGGGCATTTGAAAAGTAAAGTTTTTAGTACGAAGCCCCATTCCATTCAAGATCTTTGTCAGGAGATTATGGCTGCATTTAGACAAATAACTGAAGACATGCTTAAACATGTGACGAATAGATTTGAGCAAAATCTTTATTATTGCATGGAAGTGAAAATGGACACCACTTTCAGCACTTATTACCACATTTACCTACCTCTTCATAGTAAAGTAATTGTTACTTTAACTTTAATGTGCGTGTAAACTGTAAGTTGTTTTTCTGATAGTCGGAGACTTGTTTTTAATTTTAAAAGTCTTGTTACTATGGAACCTATAGGTTGATTATTATTTTTTCGATATCATCCCTTATTATCACAATTTCTAGAACTGTATCATAACCTCAAATAGCTTCACAACGATTAAAACTTTAATACCAACGTTACCAAAAACTTCATGGAGAATCTAAAGATTTAAAAAATGGGGTTTCCATTTAAAAATCTAAAGTGTATCGCAATATATAAATTTTGGAACACCCTGTATAGTGCGGCTATAGTTGGAAAGTGTGTCAGGAGAGTCACAAGTGGGGTGAGACCTTTTCGTTGGGCCACCCCGTATAAGAGTATGATAGTATAGGACAAACCGTCAAAAATTGATATCCCTACCTAGACAGGGTGATTCCGAAAATGGTATCAATATCCCAGGGTCGAAGTATGCCTCAAAATAATAGAAACGTTCGTATAAGTATGGATTCTAAGATATCCACTTGAGGAGATAGAGGCTGTTGAAGTTGCGTTTCTCTGTTAGTAAAAAGTTGCGTGTACTCACACTTTTGGAGGAAAATCCGATTGGGAAAATTGTATTAGGTGTATTGCGGAATAAATGGTATATTGCTACTATAATATTTGACGAATATGTATTCATGTTTTATCTTCCCATTCTTCATTGATTTGCTACTCTAGGAGTATCGCCACTTTGTGGATCACTTTGTATACATTGTGTTTCAGTTTATTGTTGCATAACTTTAAGATTCGATAGAACTTTTAAAATTAATACATAAAGTCTATATAAATATGGGTCGAAAAATGCATGGCTTCCGAAATACAGGGTGTTTAAATTTACTTTCTAAAATAGTTTTTTTTTTTAAATATTTCGAACAATATTTGATGTATAACAGTGAAAATTGGTATACAAGGGTTTTTTTGCACGATAAAACGAACCATGGGCATAGTTTTACTGTAACCGCTAGAGGGCGCTCTCTACTGTACCTGTAGTATATTAAAATGACCGAAAAATTTTTCTTAGTGCAATTTTTTGCTTTTTGAATAAAAAAACTGATTCTTCGCACTTTTCAACATAAAAAAGCTCTCGTGTGAATTTTCGTTATAGTTAGCCGTTTTTGAGATATTTCGATTTTTGAGGTTCGATGCACTTTTAATTATTTATGATAAAATAACGTTAAAAAGTCAGTATCTCGATAATTTTTAGAAGTTGACTGTGCCTGCAAATATCTTTGAAATTGAAAGCAGAATAAGGTTAAACGTCAATTAGTTGACAGTTAGTTTTGTTGTCTGTTGAAACCTGAAACGTTTTTTTGCAATTGTGAATGCACAAAATTTAGTTTCTTTTACCTGTTTTTATTTGAAAGTTTTATAAAAATGCCATTTTTATTCTCCAATCAAGAGTTAGCGGATATTCATTTTGTGTATGGCTTTGTAAATGGAAACGCAGCAGAAGCAGCCAGAGAATACGCACGAAGATTTCCAAACAGACGACATCCAACTCGCTCAGTATTTGTAAGAGTGCATCGCCAAATAATTGAAAATGGTTTTGGAAATCTCCAAAGGGATCAAAACATAAATATTCGTCAGCGCAGATTTACCCGTATGATCCTGCGTGAGTTTGATAGAGATCCGACCACAAGTGTTAGGAGAGTTTCTGGTGCCTTGGGAATTTCAGCAAGCCATGTTCACCGTGTTCTTAGAAATGACCATAGACCTCCTTACCATTTGCAACCTGTGCAAGGACTGCAGCCAGGGGACGGAGAACGAAGAATCACATTTTGTCAGTGGATTCTTGATAGAACTGATAATAATAGGGAGTTTTTAAGTAACGTTTTATGGACCGATGAGTCATGCTTCACTAGACGTGGAGTGGTAAATTTTCATAATCAACATATTTGGTCGCATGAAAATCCGCATGCAGTTCAGGAAAGAAATTTTCAGCATGAATTGAGTGTGAACGTGTGGATTGATATCTACTGTAATCGACTATTTCGACCCTACCTTTTGCCTGCAAGGTTAAATGCTGCGACCTTCTTGGAATTTTTAAAGGCTGAACATGCAAATATGTGGGATGATGTTATGTTAGATTTAAGAAGATTGGTCTGGTTCCAGCTTGATGGTTGTCCAGCTCATTATTCGAGAATAGTTAGAAACTGG